AAATGTCTGATCTTGGTGTCTGGTAGCCATCTAGTAAATGTCTGATCTTGGTGTCTGGTAGCCATCTAGTAAATGTCTGATCTTGGTGTCTGGTAGCTATCTAGTAAATGTCTGATCTTGGTGTCTGGTAGCCATCTAGTAACTATCTGATCTTGGTGTTTGGTAGCTATCTAGTAAATGTCTGATCTTGGTGTCTGGTAGCCATCTAGTAACTGTCTGATATTGGTGTCTGATGGCTGTCTAGTAAATGTCTGATATTGGTGTCTTAATCATTTGCATCTATGATTACTGTGCCATTTCCTGTATCTGTAAGTAAAATTTTAATAATGTCATACCCTCTTAGATAATTCAAGGCACTAAATTTTTGTTTCATAATGTTGGATTTTGGCATCTTTGCATTTCATAAAGACTGATGAAAACACAGAATCATGCCCTAGCAGAATGTCATCCTTTTATTTTTCTCCAAGACTTTCTCTTCAAGCATCAGTCTGAACTAGACAGTTGCTGCCCATTTCAGCTTTGTATATCACGAGTAATCTGGTTAAATCATCTAAAAAGTGTTTGTAAGTAGTGATAATACATTTTATAAAATGTAATCTCTTTGTATTATTGAAATAAACACACACACACACACATGCATGATTATACAGAAAAACATTTTGTTTCATGAGTATCTTACTCACTTAAGTAGTCAAGAAACAAGTTATAATGAGTTGTATAGAAATAAAATCAAAAGTTCTTACCTTTCACTACAAGGCTGAGTAGGATCACACGTAACACTATCAATACAGCTTCTTCCCGAGTCAGTGCCCGATAGCTTTTTGCTACCCGATTTTCGTGATGTTTCCTTTGACCGCCTGGTCTGCTGGTGGTCAGTTTGTGACATGATGAACTGCTCTGGTGGTTCACCACATCCTCTACCCAGTTCCAAGGATGTGCCCATTTCTGCATGGTGGTGGTGGAGATGCCTATGTTCATAGTAAGGAGAGAATTTGGTGGTTTCATAGTTTGAAGAGAAGTTGTGAACTGTTCCACTATCACTTGAACAGATTTGTCGTTCCTGGAACACAGAAAAACGTTTTGAAAACTTTTCTACTTACATAAATATATTTGTATGTATTAAACTTTACTATTTAAGGTTAATATAGCAACTATATAATCAATCTAGTGACTTGTTTTTTTAAAACCTTATTTTTTCACATCCTGATGTACACTTCTAACTGAATCATATGGACGACTGGAGATAGCATTTCAACTTGCTGGCTAGTACAAGTTTTCAATTATTGACTCTTTTAGACATTATTACCTTACAAATTAACAATGACTTTTGTAAAAATACAAATCTTGTTACTTTTGGTCTCCTAAATGCATAACAAACTACCTAACTTTGGGCATCTAAAGTATAACAAAATTCCACATATCTTAAGATTAAACTTTTGTACCTTTATTTGTGGGGCCAAGCTGCTATGAGATGAAACTGATTGGTAAGGACTACTGTAGACTCCTCCCGAGCTCACACTTGGATTTGACATAAAGGGACTAAAACCTGACACTCCAGCTGTACCAGGTCTGGGATGGGGAGAAAACTGATTCGGAGATCTGTTTGGAGTGTGATGTGAAGAGTCGTTCCATACTCTGGACACATGCTGGTCCAAAATAGACTGGTCATTTTCTTCTGTAACCTCCTGCTTTTCTTTTATGGTTGCTGTTAAAAGCTGCGGTGGAATCCCAGCAAATCTTCCAACTGAGTGAGAGACAGACGAGAGTAATGTTGCTTTTTCTTCCACAATCTGTAAAATATACATCATTATGCTTATAATAAAACAGTTTTGTAAAAGTGCCTGTACATCCATGACTCTATATAAGAGTCACACAAAATGTAAACAAAAATACTATTAATATTGAAGTTAGTCTTACTAACTATTGTAGAGGTTTTCTGTGTATTTCACTTACATATTTTCTTGACCAGTTATTTAAACAGAAATGTTGTAACACACACAAAACATAAAAATTATGCAAAATATGGATCCCACTGTTAGAAGGTAGCATAAAAACAAGACCTTGATTTAAGGGTTTATAACCAACAATGCTTACATTCTGGGCCACATTACTCATTCAGTCTCATTTTGTACTTTAAGTGGTTTATGTCTATCTTATTAAAAACTATGGAACTCAAAGCTAGAAGCTTTAAGAAACTGATGAAGAATAGGCCTTAACTGTCTAGCAAAATAAAGAAAGATCCAAGTTACATTTTAAGTATACCTTAAATATGAGTTATACTTGTAGTTTTATGAGATATAAACTGGGTAATGCCACTGGGTGAGCTACACTTGTAGTGTTATTAGAAGTAATCTCGAGCTATTCTCGTGGTGCTGTGATATAGAATCTGAGTGATGCCAAGGGTGAGCCAACATGTTTTATGAGATAGAATCTGAGTGATGCCAAGGGTGAGCCAACATGTTTTATGAAATAGAATCTGAGTGATGCCAAGGGTGAGCCAACATGTTTTATGAAATAGAATCTGAGTGATGCCAAGGGTGAGCCAACATGTTTTATGAAATAGAATCTGAATGATGCCAAGGGTGAGCCAACATGTTTTATGAAATAGAATCTGAGTGATGCCAAGGGTGAGCCAACAGAGAGATCGAAAACAATTGAAGATTATATTATATTTTCATCCAGGTAGATCAAGACACTCAAGTTTCTATTAACAGAAAGAAGATGCATCTGTTGTTTTAACCCTACAAATATATCTTTATAATAAAAACTCCTTAAGTATTCATTGTTTAATAATCAATATAATACATGAAATAAATGTCTACATTTAGTTCAGGACCAAAATAAAGAACTCTACCTTAAGTATTCATTGTTTAATAATCAATATAATACATGAAATAAATGTCTACATTTAGTTCAGGACCAAGATAAAGAACTCTACCTCTAGTTTTTTTAGAGAATCTTCAATTTTTTCCTGAGTTTCCCTTTCGTTTTTTAGTTTTAATAATTTCTGGATCAAAATTTCTGCAAATTCTTGTTGACTCACAGGACTGGTAAACTCTTTTGGTGGTCGCTGAGTTCGCTAAAAGGGTTTTTAATATAATATATAATTTACTAAAGGAAAATGTTTTGTAAAAATGAAATATGTGATGTCAGAAAAGTGATATAAACCATGAGAAACCGGTATACTGACAGAGATATATAAACATTAATCCACTATCATTAAAGTTGGTGCTCACTATTTAAAGCAAGTTGAATTATAAATTTAAAGTAAAAACAAGATTTTTGTACTGTACTTTACAACAAATGGCTTTTATGGTAATCACTCAGACCACTATTCAGGAGGGTCAGAAACAGGTAAGTTCAAAATATGTTCATAAAACAGATTCCAAAAACCATACAAGATCCTTAGGTTTCATCACGGATGTTTGTTTAATTAAAAAGCACAAAATATCTGTTTTTTTCAAGTTGAAACTTTACAGGTATTATAGCTTGATGATCCTTATTGAAACTGGCATTCTTCTTTACTGCTCGTTGATGTCTCTTCAACTGAGTCCTTGACGACAGATTAGGCCCACAGTCACTGTCAGGGAAAACATATTCTATGTTTAATACATGTACTTTATAAAAACAATTTAATTATGAAATACAACAATATTTTAATACTGAACTAGCAAGATTATAATATTTTTACCAAGTACAACGATGGTTCTTAAACTAGCCTTACAAGAACGTGCCACTTTAACAACACAGTAATTCTCCCCAAAACCATATCCTAGACCCCCATAATTCTTATAACAATCATATTTTATACCTTTTGTAAAGCCTGGTTATGTACACAAAAACTCAACTTTCTATATAGATATATTCAAAAAGTACAATGTTATTTTTAACCACAGTTGTACACAATGCCATAAAATCAAACACATTCTTTAGTACACATTTCTCTAAAAATAAATCACATATACCAAAAAACAATATATTTAAAACTATTTATACCCAAGTAACAGATTTTCACTTACACAGTGCTGCCATCTGTTAGAGACATTGTGTCATCAGTCTGTGCATCTGATGAGAGAGACTGGAGTTCACTGTCCTGTGCAGAGGTTGGGAGAACAGTAGCATACTTCACATGGTAAGGGTTAGGAATTTTACTGGATACATGCAAGTAGTGCCTGTTACAACAAGAAGATGTAACATTACTCTCTATTAGAAGCACTTTCATTGACCATCTTCTAAAATTGGGTTTATCTTTATCTAGAAGAAATGCTAACAAAACAAGACTTGGATTACTACCTCAATACACATGTAAGATTCTTCTTTGTTTTCACTCATAACTTCTTAGAATTATAAACAATACAATTCTACCTATAATTACTATTTTCATAAAATAATGTGATTCCTCTAATGTAATTTGTGTGTAAACTCATTATTTAATTGCTGTTTTTATTATTAACTTGAGAGACCAGAGGCTATTACATTAGTACTGGTAGAATCTCCAGTGTTTTCATATCACTTATAAAAATGTTAAACATGAAAAACAAACAAAGCATGATACACATGTAATAATAATAATGCTGAAAAGTTTCCCCAAACATGCATAAACACAAATATCAATCAATATTTATATAATTGTTTCAAATTTTATTATTTTCTCTTCTTCAGTTTAAGGATGTCCTACATTTTACATCAACATCATGTGATCTGTCTTATTCAAGAGTTACATTACCCAAGATTAGATCAATCTAAAGGTTTTTACCTAATCTACACATAATTAGTTACTTTTAACCTATCCACACATTCAATATTCTTGGAGGAAATATTATTCTTTAACTATAGTTAAAACTTCCATAACGAGGTACATTTTGTATTTACCTGAATCATTACACAAAACATATTTACTTTATATGATGGAACAAACTTACCCAGCTTGAGCTTCAGGTCGATAACGAGGTACATTTTGTATTTACCTGAATCATTACACAAAACATATTTACTTTATATGATGGAACAAACTTACCCAGCTTGAGCTTCAGGTCGATAAC